GACGTAAGTTTTAATACACAAGTTGAGTGAGGACCTGTCGTATAGAAAACTAGTTAACGTATCGCTTTGTCAACTGAAAATGGAACAAAATGTCCTTAAGCCTTGAAAACAATTGAAAAAGGGTCACACAATGGACATCTGTTTGTAGATTTTTCTATGGCATTTCTTAATTAAATTGACTCAAGGGACTAACTTTATACTACACTCAGGGTAGCTGAGCAATCTAGGAGAGATACATGTCGTGTGTCTCAGCCTAGCTAGTCTTGATAAGGGGCAATTCATTTTTTATAAGGGAGGGAAGGGGGAAACTGGAGGGATTTGTCGGGGGCTGGGGTCATTAAAAAATCAGAGGGGACCACAAAAGATCGCACAGCATTTTTACGATAAACAGAACGAATAGACAGGGCCATTTTAGGATGTAACGACGGTGGGGGGGTTAGACGGTATGACCAGGCGATTCCCATCTCCCCTCCCTATAAAAATGAATGGTTCCTAAGGTCAAAAGTCTAGTCAGTATTACCCTATTTAGGCGAGGTCACAGTTAGCAACATTGCAAGTAGATAAGATTTCCACGACACTCAGATAAGCTTTGTATACACCCAACACAAAACAAGCTTTTCAAAATAGATTTTTTAAGTATAGCCTCAAGTTATTGAGCCTGTTGTTACAATAGCTCTAAAGTTACTAATCAATGAACAAATCAGGTGTTTGATTATCACAACTGAGGATGATCCACTTAAGATGATGGTTACTATAGAAAATAAAGAGGTTTAAGAACTATGTATTTTCACGACATCAGTTGATGAGAATACTCACGAATTTTTTCTTCGGTGTTTAAAAAGTTTGTCGCTTTTAAAGAAATCATTTCAGTACATCGTAGCTGCCCTGCTCAGTTTCTCAAGCGCAGTAGGTTAGCAGCAAGCTCTCTTAGGTGGTAGAACAAAACCGATTGTTTCTAAGGAAGCGTTTGTATAGTGTATAGTACAAACAAACGACGCAAATTGCATAGCTTTTAAAAGCATTTTTATTCAGACGGCCCTTCAATGGTCAATATCATCTTAAACATTAAGTTGGAGTTTCTATTACGATTTTGTACCAGGAACCTATTAATTTTTTTTTGTCGCTACAACAAATACGTTCTTATCACATTTACACTAATTTAAAGACTACAGCTTAATCTTTTTGAAGTTCAAAATAAATGATTTTTAGATGAAAACTTTAAAATATAACAATAACCTAATGACCCTTTAACAAAACTAATAGACATAGATTGCTATTTATTATAGCATGACATCTTCTAAAAACTATATCTAGACAGAGAGACGACAGAGATTGTGTTATATTAACTTTAGCATGAGATTTCCTAAAAACTATACAGTATTCTGGACCTTCAGAACAATCTCTTAGAAACCGATTTTGAAAGCCAATCATGCAATCTGAACGAGGTTGTCAACTTGATAATTTTTGCAAAAACTTATTGAACGTTATCGGTAAGGCCGGAAGAAACTTGTTAAGATGTAAATTGGGTGCATCTTATAGTAGAAGAGTATATCAATGAACAACACTGGCAGATGACGATCTTGATCAAAGTACGAAACCATAACTCATAACAAGTATCATTACTAGATTATCAAAAACTCACAACGCTAAGCCAATTGAAAAGTGCTTTCAATAACTACATTCTTAAACGAAGTCCATGCATTTTATACTTATGGATGGGAACGCTACTTGGAATACTGAACTGTGTTGGGGTGTTGGGCCGGGATTTGAATTCTAAAGATGTATATAATGCCAATTGACATGACCTCTTACTAAATACATCTAGTCTAAGCTTAGCATAGCTAAAGATAGATTGTTTTGGCGTATAGCTAAATCCCATCAAACAAGCTAGGTATATAATATGGTGCTTGGTGTGTGTATTTAGTAAACACTTTTTATAATAGAATTAATGTTCGGTTAACTTCTTACAACAACAGTAGTTACTATGGGTTACCGACGCATTGTTGGACAGGGGTTGACGGTGGACCATCGATATCTTAGTTTATCCTGATTAATTGAAGTAACTTACGCCTAACATAATCCCCTGGAAAGACACAACAATCTATTGATGATCGAGTGATAATAGGATCGTCGCATTCGCTGCACATGGCATTGCATGGTCTTTAGAAACAATGGACTCAATATAGCACTTGTCAGGCCCGACACATATGGAAACAAACCTACTATGAACGCAACACGTGGATTCTAATTTCGTTAAATAGAGGCTTTGCACTATCAAGTGATTAGAGCCATGACAGGAACAATTGCATCTCTAATCTGATTTACACGAGAATAAACTCAGTTTCCCTGGGGAAAAAGACTATTGTTGTGCCTCCTGTCATGGATGCCATCACGTGATGGTGCAAAGCCTCTATAAGGAATTTCATTGTCAAACAACTAACGGCTGAGATTCTTATGCAGTTTTCACACAGGTACCATCCTTCGGCCTTTCAGAAAATAACATTGATTTGAAGCAATCAGAAACTCATTTTTTTCTTAGATTGCAAAAATAAGTCTTTGTTTTTCTACATATAAACGACCTATCTTTAATAAGGAAGATTTTCAGTGCCAACGAACAAATAGGGTTAGGAAATAGAATGCCCCAAAGTAGATTTTGGGACACTGCCTTTTTGCTCATGGTGAAGAAACCTTATTAGATACCACTCCTGATTACCTTGCTATCTGCAGGTCACGTGACTCTTTCCCGCCATATTGGATGGCAAAAATTTCTTGATTTTTGGTTTATAATTTTTTACACTTATAAATCATGGAAATATCTTAATCATTAATACATTACTCTTGTTAATATAATTTCAACTGTTATTGAAAATTATGACAGGATGTCACTTAGATGTCCAGCAACTTTCCTCACATTTGTTTTTCAAGTTAATATTTGTACAAATCTTTACTGATACATTGATAATACACACAATATTTCCTTCATAATAGACTAATCCTGGTGACCTTTTATTAATTCAATAAAGTATTGCACAATAACATTGTTTATAAATCCAAAATACCCTTAATTTGCATTTAAATATTGGTTTCTAAGAAAGAATTTTAGTTAAGAAATATATTATAAAGATAACAATAAAGTAACTATAAGAAAATCTGTTAATACGAAAGACTTTCCACCAGGTTGCCAGTCCACTTCCAAGATCTCAATAGACCTTATTTGTGGTGTGACAATGTTTTCCCTATTCAGCATGACAAATATCCAGAGGATTCATTTTCTTTTGTTTTTACTCTTCGAAAAATTCATGAGTATCCCAAAGGATACAAAAGGGATAACAATGATATCCCGATGAGTTTCAAAACAATAGCTCTTCATTCCCCCAGAGGTTTGTCACGCTGAATTGGGAAAACATTGTCACACCACGAATAAGGTCTGTTGTCATGCACCAAGGTTTCAATGCGAGGCTTCRTGCATAATGCTCAGTGATTCCTAACGAGAGAAAAAATTAATTTAATTTAGCACCTAGCCTAGTAATGAAACCTTTGTGCGTGACAAGCAAAGCATATCTCGGAAGCAAGCTATCATATAATGAAAAGACAACTGCACTAGGTTTTATTTATACGAAAAAGCTTATGAATGAAAATGAGTAATTTTTTATGTCATTTTAGTCTTGTTAAGAAATTCTTTCATCTAATTTTATTGCATAGAAAATTAGTTATTTAATTATATTAAAGTTCATGGAGTGCAACCATATCTCAAATTCTCTCAAAAAATAAATAGCAATGAAAAAGCTGCAATGCTGGTTGATCTAATGAGAGAAGCTAATGAGAATTGCCTTGTTATTGTCAACCAAGATGGTGGCAGAACTTGCACCCTAACATTAAAAGAAATTGCAATGTAAAGTTAAGGAGAGTTTACCTATTTTTTGTCTTTGTTTACAAGTAATTATCGTTGACTATATTTCCTAAAAGGACATATTCCAAAAAAATAATAACTGATGTAAAATAAAGATGATTGAAATTTAAGAAAAATTAAATAAAAAAATAATTACTTTTTTTGTTAGGTATGAAACTACTGGGGGRAAAAAATAGCATCTCCATTTTTTTTGCTTTACAGTACTTCTTGATCACTTGCAGGAAATTGTACGAATTGCCATTGTGACAGAAAATTGTAAAATTTCGTGCATGTCATTGACAATAATACTGTAATACAAATGAAAAATTGCCAAATTTAGAACTCTAATTTTAGAAATACAAGCATGAATGTTTGTTCATGGTTGTATTTCTGTATAAATTACAATAAGCTTTTCAAAACAATTACAGAAATGCAGCAAGAAATAATAAATTGAATTTCAAATAGAACTGATTTATCATCCTACTTGTACATGCATGCGTGTGTAACTCATTAGCTAATTTCAATGGTGGGCTTCCTGTGGTATGCAAATAAATAATCAAATAATTTGCATATCACTTGGTTTGACAACATATGCAAATTCAATCACTCTTAAATATGCTTAGGCTTTGCAATGCCAAACAATCTTTTACACGACTCATTTGGTAAAATCAGCCAGTTTCACTTCAAAATGTGTTGGTTTAACACACAAAAGCCTGCACATAAAAAAATGTAATAATACACAAAATGTGTTCATACTTTTGTGCATTGTGCTATAACAACCAGTTTAATAGTAGTGGGGAAAGAGTTAGTATACAGTTATAAACCTATTTCAAAAAAGATTATCAGAGCCAAAGGTGTTAGGCAACAAGCAATAGAAGATAGGGCAATCAAAGATGCAAGAATAGCTAAAATGACCTCTGTTTTTTCCCCTCATCAAGAACATGGAGGTTAGCGTTATTTGTGTCTCTAGTTGTATGCCCATAATATTATTCTTTTCCATTTTGGAATGACCTATCGCTTATCTTCTATTGCTCCAACTCCCCTTTTTTGAAACAGGTATATAATATTGACTCTTATCCTCTTGATATAAAGTCTAAATGTCATAGGCCTCTTAGATGTAAGAAATCCAGTTTATTATAACAGCCCTATTAAGCTCCATTGTGGACCATGTGTCATCCCCTTGGGAATATAATAATTCTTTGAGTTACAACTATGTTAGTGTATATCAAATGACACCAGTAAACAAAGAGACAATATTCAAGTTCTCTGTAATTCAGTGCACAAAAATTAACGCTTGCAAACTCGCAAAATTAATGTGGGTGAAATTTTGTATTTAGTGAGTGACAAAATAACTTATTGAAGGACTGAAAAGTTCAGAACCTGCATCAAGTTACGTTTGTTATTCACCATGTCCAATCACTAGTAACATTGACATTTTTGCTGAGATTAAAACTTACTAGCAAGGTTTTGCTAGTGAGTTTAGAAGTTAATTACGTGTTCTTTAATTGGAAAATATTACAATGAAGGGTAGAAGCTTTTAGAATAAGCCAGTTCATAGTTTAAGAATTGTTTTCAGTGCACATCTGGTTTTATCCCAAATTTCTCACCTTCTTTTGTTTAATTAGGATCAAAAGAAGGTTTAAACAAAAGAAGGAACTGGTTTATTATCCCAACTCAAATCATCCCAAATCAAAGCTCAATTCATTTTGTTTATTGACAAGGCAAAAGCTGCAAATTATTCTTTCTTTAGAGAAAACTTATGATGAGACCATATTTGCAATCTATCTGTACCGTTACCCAAAATAGACTGAAGAAGATACGTGGTAAACATGACATAAAAATACCATCTAACGATAAGGAAATAGTAGATAGCCATAAGAGAAAGAATTATAAAAAGTAGCCAAAACAAGAGAGCAGCTTTCAATTGATTTCTTGCTCTGGATTCAACGTGCAGTTCACTTCTGGGCTCAGCTTCTTCTCGAGGACAGAAACCTTGACCGTCGGCATAGAATTTCCTGAGTACTTTTTCCTTCTCCTCCCATTTTTCAGTACACCACTTTTCCAGTCCCTTTTCATCCTCTGGTAACATTTCTATTGGATATCTTTCAAAGTGAAAGTGAATTTCACGAGGGAAATTTCCAAGAAGAAGATCCAACTCCCAGAATGAACGATTAACATCATAGCCTACAGTTACGTTGTGGACAGCTTGCAATCTACCATGGCGCAGCTTTTGTATACAATAAGTAAATCCCCGGACGCGTGGATGAAGGACATATTCATAGCAGGGGAGGTTGTTTTTCCTTGCAAAACTATCACTTTTAACTTTGGTGGCACTATCAAGATTAGTTCCCTCAGGGAACAGAAGTAGCTGCAGAGGGTAAGACACTTCATTGTAATAGTCTAAAACTTCTCTTAGGTAACCCTCATCATGTTGCCAGCGTCTTTTTAAGAATATGAACATGGCATTCTGCATTGCCCAGCCTAAAAATCAAAGACAGTCTGATCCGTCATTCAATAATCACTCAATATCTGCCATTAGAATAAAGAGGTACTTACCTGGTCCAGGGATATTCTTTAGATCATCTTTAAGTATAATTTTCTCATGTTTTAAGTCTCCATAACGGTGAAGGCAACACCAATAATACATCCAGTCAAGCCGAGAGCGGTGGTTCATGATAATCAGAGATGCCTCATTGGCTGGCGGCTTTTCTCCCGTGATTATAACTTTGACACCAAAAACCAGTTCTATGCATGGGTTTTATGTTATAGAAAAAGATGTTAACTGATTTTTGTTTTCATTTGGGAAAAATGTTTGTTCATAGAACAAGTGCATCATCATCAAAACTCAGTCTTAGAGTCGGAGAGAAAAACCAATATATCTGACTCCCCTGATTCTTCTCAAATATTGTGCATGCATTTTTAACAGTTATTTATTCAAATAATCCTTTATTTAGAAGGTTGATTATATTAATTTAGGTTACTTTTGCTTGACATATTAAGGCTATGAATAGGTTCATCATTTAAATTTAAAATCCCAATATTGTGAAACCAAAACCATTAAAGGCATTCATGAGTTTTTTTAAATATTAATGATTTATAAATTGAATAACAGTTGAAAATACTGAAGTGCAAACTTACTAAATTAATTACTCAATTAGCATCCAGTTATCCAATTAGATTAAGGCACAAGCCTAAAGCAAGCTTTATATATTGTTTCTGCCATTAGATGGCTAATTAGTAGCCTAAATTTGGAACGTCAATTGACGTCCAAAATTCAAACTTTACGGTATATAAATGCTGGCTATATTGAAGGGTAATATGTAAAAGTGCTGTAATAAAGTCTTAATGAAGTAAAAGAAAAAGAGAAGACTTACCTAAAAGCGCCTGTTGGAGAATAACAAGAGACAGACGAAAAATGGCGCATGAGGAGAGAAAAAGTATGAATTAAAAAAGTGCTTAGTTATCGACTATCTAATCTCCTACAAGAGCAAGCACAAATACATCTAATAATCCTTGACATGGAAAGATAAACAACAATACTGTTAAACGATACGCATGAAATATCGGCTTACATACCGGAGGAAGGATCAACCAAAGACCAATACTTCGATCATTATACCAACGAAACCATGAAGGTCGACACAGAAGAAGAGGTAGTGACGGACCCATGATAAAAATCGAGCCCAAAAATGAGCTCATATAAAGAATAGTCAAGTATATTAAYCCTCCTATTGGGTTCCGCAGCATTTTCGATGTTTTTTTGGGGAGTTTTTGGCCGATAAAGAAGGCTTTTCCTCCCCCTTCGATTGCTTCTTATGGTTTCTATCGATTTTCGCGGGTTTTGATTGTCGCAGTGCCTCATGGGTAATACTTCCTTCATGGAGATTTCTGGGTAATTTATATCCCGCTGTAAAATAATAATTAAAAAAAATACACTGTAATATCAAATAATAATAGAGTATACATTTTAAATATTCTTATTTTTAATTACTTGGGACTTGATGTCAAGGAGCTCTTTTCTTGCTGGCCCGATATCGAAAAAATTATAGCCCCCAAGTTTCCATGCAGGAAATGAAAAATGACCCACTCCTAATGCACAGTTTTATAGGCAGCCCACCCCTTTTAAGAAGTTCAAAATTGTGTGAACCACCCCCTGGTTTAACCCCGTTCCCCCCTTTAATTTTTCATCGACGAAGTTATGAAGTGTTTGAAAACTTTATCGTTGCTATAGCAACGTAGGTGTCTTGAAAATCTTTGGTCCTTTTAAGAGTTGGTGAGGTATCAAAGCTATCAGTAATGTATGCCTTCAATGCATTTTTGATTCCAAAAGATACACCTTTACAAGGGCGGATCCAGGGTTTTTTTGAAGGGGGGGTCTCAGGGGTAAATTTTGTGGGCAAAGAAATTTTTTACCACAGAAGGCCCATTTGACCTAAGGAATGACATGGGGGGTCGCGACCCCCCCGAACCTCCCCCTGGATCCGCCCTTGATTTAGATAGAAAAATCCAAAATGGTGTGAGCCACGTCTCTCGACTTATTGTAGTACGAGATGTGTGACATGACTTCATTTCTCAATCTGACAAGCTTCAGCGTGGCGTGACGACACTTATAGCGGCTGCTTAGGATACTATAAGGCGTTCCTTGTTAGTTGCTCGTTCAGCTAAATCATTGTTTCGGATTTAATTTCGTACTCTTTCCGCTATGGGTAACTTTATTATCACCTTATTGACCATTATTTTGAGTTTGTTGGTGTACGCTTTACTAAAGTTACGTAACCGTCATCGTGCTGGGGCGATACTGCACCAACTCTATAACCCCATGGTTGACCACGATGGAATACTCAAAAGGAGACTTGATCCCTTTGAGAAAGCGATGTTCTACATGTCCAGCGAAGGAAAAGAAGGTTCTGGTATTGATGTTACAGTCTTGCTCATTAACTCACAAGTTTCTTTGGATGCCAGCTTGGTGCAGAGAGCCCTTTCTCTTCTTAATGAGCGTTACCCTCTGTTACGTATGTATGCGAATCCATGAAGACTCGAACAATAATCTTTGGTTCAAAGAAATGGAGGATAAATCTCGAATCATATTCAAGACTATAAAGGAAACTGCTCGCAACTGGGAAGGGATCTTTGAACAAGAAAGTCAAAGATCTTTTGATATGGGAAATGGCCCTCTGTGGAGAGTTACAATGCTGCAAGAATTCTTTGACTCCGATAAGAGACACTATGAAAACTGCTTGATATTTACATTCCATCACATTATCTGTGATGGAGGTTCAATTATGGCGCTCTATTCTCAATTTTTAGAGTATGTCAACGACTTAAAAGCCGGAAAAAACGTAGAGGTCGAGAGCATGAAGCTGTTAGAGCCCTGTCTTTCTCTAATGAGTCACAAGATTCAGGCTACCTTTCTTGAGAAAACTTTATTTTATTTTCTGCCATTTGTTTTGAGAGTTAGAAGCTTATTTTTCAAACCAAAGAAGAATTCCTTCTTGGAAGTCTTCCCCCCAGTGATCTTGCAGAACCCCTCTGTTGAGAAAAAGACTGTGGTAATCCCAAGGGTAATAAAGGCAGATGAAATGTCTAAAATAATCAAGAGCAGTAAACAACATAAATGTACTATTCATGGTACCATTACTGCTGCAACTCATCTAGCCATGGCACAGATCCTGCAGTCGGGCACTGGTAATACGTTACCAGATCCTGTATCATTTACGAGTTCCTTCAATGTTTCATTGAGGAAAGAATGCCAACCTGAAGTTAACATGAAGGAATTCGGCTGTTTCATTTCAGTAAACATGATGRATATTCCAACCCCATGTGCAGGCATCACCAAAGAAGTGTTCTGGAAATTTGCACAAGAGTGTAATAAAATGGTCCAAAGCAAGGTTGCTACAAAAGAGCACCATAAATTCCTTAAGATGTTTGCAAATGCTGATGTTAAATCATTGTTCGCTAGCATGATAAACAATGATGAAAGTAATGGTGGAAGGTATGACAACATGTTCAACATTTCCAATCGAGGGCGATTCAGCATTGGCGAAGATGAAGATGATTGGCAGTACAAGTTTGCAGGTACCTACTTTGCAATGGCTGAGCAGCATGCTGGTCCACCTTTGGCCAACTGTGTTGTTTCTGTCAATGGAAACCTTTACTGGGGTTTGATTTACTACCTGAACATTACGACCAGGAAGCAAGCAGAAGAGTTTATTGACTTATCCTTAAACATTCTGAGAGAGGCTTCTGCATCTGTTTAGATAGTAATACTGATGCAGTATTATTACACTAGGCTGCAGGGGACAGAAAATTTGAAGCCATGACACCCTGGGTGCAGGTGGTATGTGCTGCTAATGTGCATGAATTCTTATTCTATCTAATGGTAGCCTTATAGAATGGGTGGTATTGGTATGGTCCTTGATAAGGCTTTCTGTCGTCCACCCTAGAGTGGTAAATACCATTAGACTTTAGAAATAAATAAATAATCAAAAAAAGTTAAAAAAAAAGCAATTTCTTTGGCTATTGACCCCTAGCAGGATTTTCTTATTGCAGAAGACAAACCAATAAAAGTTTACTCATTGTTTTGACTTCTGGGAATGGCTGCAAGGGCCTATTAATAAATGAGGGTGTATACTATTTTGCATTCTTCAATTAATTATTTTCATATTTAAATTCATTCAGATTTATACTCCATTTATTTTTTTTGCAATTTATTATAATTTTAAAAAAAATTAGCACTCACTAGTATTATAATAAAAAAGCTGAAGTCCCTAACCTGTTTGTGTGCTTTTTGTAGTAATGCATAAGGTTTAAAAGTTGAAAATGTTTCATCAAATCAAAGGGTGGGTCCCTTTGGCAAAAAAAATAAAGCCTAAAAAATTTTTTGTGATGCCTTTCTAGATTTTTCTTGACAAGCCCCTTCGGGTTTTTTTCTCTTCAGGCCACCTTGTTAGCTAAATAATATGGGCCCCCCGCCCATATTATCCCGCGGGATTCCCGCATTTTATAGTTGCTTCAATGCGTCACATATTGCGCAAACCTCGTACCCAGGCTCTTGGCAAAATCTCTTTCATCGAAATTTTCAATATGGCGGACACAGCAAGAGAAAGCGGCTCAAACGAAGTCGAAAATTCTCAATCTACTCAACCTCCTGCTGAAAATAACCCCCAGAACGAACAACCACAACAACAAGAGTCTCCATGGAAGGGAATCTTATTCAGAATTTTTATTTTCTGGCTGATTTCAAATTTATTTCGAGGGAAACAGCAACAGGGCACTGAGAATTCTGGTTTTACACCGGCGACCAACTTGTTTAAACCCAGGGATTTCATGGTGAGTAGATGATCAATTAAAGGTTAAAATTATAATGGGATATACCGTTAGAGTATTAGATTGCTAGCTACGAGGGTCTGCATATGTTGCCTTGAGAGATCCAATAATTTAAATTTCTGTAAAAAAAAACGTAGTTCACCTTAGCTATACACGTGTGAAAAAAGCTCACATTCGTAATAAGACCACGCAATGAATTCTCTGATTCATAATCTCCTTTTAATTGTGTTTGGCTAGCGAACTAAAGTCAGTGGGTTTTAGAAATATGGTGTTTTTATTCACTCTCTATTTCCTATATAAAGGCTTCCCTGGTGGCGCTTTTAAGGTTGCTAACGTCGTAATTAAGCTTATATTATTAGCTTTTCTTTCGCTTTCTTCAGAAATTTAATTATGCATTACCAGCGTTTTCATTGCTATGCACTGATTGACACAACAGTCATGACAAGGAAATCAGGTGATAGACTACTGTCTTGAAATAAGAGTATGTAAAGTTACCAAACAGTATATTTGATTGACAGTCTATTGCCCGATTTCCATTTGTGACTGTTTAGAATCGTTGTTTTGGAATCTTTTAATGATATCCCCCCAACAGACTGACAACTGAGAAAACTGGATGGTGATTTATTCCTAAATATTGCCAATTTAATCACAATTTGGTGTTGTTTTTTCATGGCAGGACCTTTATGTCTACATATCTGACAAAAGCTATATGCAACCAGAAGACTTCAATAATACAAGTCTGTTGATTTGGAAGCAAAATAAGCTTCAGTTTGGTAACTGGACATGTGGTGAGAATGGCGATGGTAGTTATACATACAGCTACACCATCAAGGCTTCTGAGGTAAGTACCAATAGATATTATTATGCCTATCACAATGGCATGAATTTACTACCTCAGGGCCGGGTTGTTCAAAGCTGGACTAGGGCTAATCCAGGATTAACTCTATAGGTCTTATTAAGAGTTAACCCAGGATTAGCACTAATCGGGCTTTGAACAACTGGGCCCCGGGCTTGAAATAACGGCAGGACATTAGACAATGTCCGGCTAGAACTGGGATTTGTGCAGTGAAATCTTCGCCTTGTCGGTAATTTTGATCAGTAACGTTAAGTCAGAAATATTTAGTATGACTTAGCTAAATTTTTTTTGGCCTGTGATAATGACATTTGACTGAACAGCCATCATTTTGTATATTTTATTTTATTTTATGCTACCTCATCTCCAAAGGAATATAGATGTTAAAATATAGCCAGAAACCTATAAAGATAGTGAATTTAAATAAAATACATCATACCTTCAGTATTATAACTTAAGTCATTATTTTTGATTTCCAGGAATTGATGAATAATGGGTCTCTATATATCCATGTGTTTGTTACCAAAATGAACAGGCCACCCAACCCCAAGGCTCCGCGCTACAGGAGACTTGATGTGGTGAATAGAACAATGTGTAAGTATTTTATGCAATATCAAGCACATTATGTATAACCTTTTATTTTCTGAGTTTAACAAGCATTGGTCTTCTAGTTGTGATTTACTCTAGTGCTCTATAAAGCATGTGAAGGAAATATGTTTGTATCCAAGCTTGACCAGAATGCACCATGTTTACCAATACTTCCATAGAAAATGGTCTATGGATATCATATTATGTTCTATTCAAAAGTTGGTACTCCAGTTGAAGTTATAAATGGTCTTTAAAGATGTTGGTTTTTTTGTTTGTGTAGTGCTGACAGTATACAAGAAAAGAAGGATTAGTAACACTGTTAATCTTCTGACAGGACTACAAACTGACGGGAAAAAGAAGGAGGTAAAACATGAATTATTGAAGAAATAGAAAATGTGTGTGCGTGCTGCGTGCAGTTATAAAGCACACTGGGATAGGTAGAACACAAGAGAAGTGTTTGGAGAAGCACGATGCGTAGCGGAGTGCTTCTAGACACTTCTCGAGTGTTCTGCCAATCCCCAAGTGCTTTATGACTGCACACAGCACAGCAAGCAAGTTTTTTATTTCTTTTATAAAATAAAAAATTCAGCAACCATTATTTTGGATAGGAATGATGCTCCCAACCAATCAGAACGCGAGATTTATAACAGTTATTCTATAGATATATGTGGTAGAAGCAAATTCTTTATAGTAAATACATTATCTTTAAGAATCTTGTCTTGAAAATTATTTTTATAGGAAAGTATAAAAAGTGAAGACAAGAAAAAGGTTGATATTATTTCTTACTGGCATCCTAATTTGACTATCAATATGATGGATGATCAGACACCGTGGACACCAGGAGCTGTCCCACCTCCCATGGATGAATGTGAGTAGAGTTCTCTTATAGTATCATCATCACGCACCATCATCATAACCATCATTGACACTAATGCCACCATCAACACTATGACCACCACCACCATTGTCATCATCACTATCATCATCATTACCACCACCATTATCATTCTCTCTAGTGTCACTACCACCACCACCATCATCATCACTATCACTATCATCATCATTACCACCACCATTATCATCCTCTTTAGCGTCAATACCACCACCACCACCACCATTATCATCACTATCATCATCATCACCACCACCACTACCACTATTATTATCATCACTACCACCACCATCATCTTTACTATCATTATTTTCACTACCACAACCATCATCACTTTATCATCAGCATCACTACCATCACCACCATCATCACTATGATCATCATCACTATTATCACTCTCCGTCTTTATCACCAGTGCCAATATCAACATCATCATCACCACCTCCATCTTCATCACCATCATCATTGTCATCAATTGCTGCCGCCATCATCATAATTAATCATCATCACCATCATCATGCACCATTGTCATCATCTTCACCATTATCACCATCTCCATCATCATGAATCATTGTACTTCCAGGCTATAAAAAGTTGCTTCCAAATCTCATTTCTTTGTTTCATTATCCTAATTAATTATTTCTATTTCTATTCAGTTATACAGTTTGACAATCTTACCAACATGTATTTTCCATTGTTATATCTAAATAACTACTGGAATCTGGGAAGTGAATACATGCCAATCAATGAGACAACACCGTAAGTTAAGAAAAACCTTTTTTAATAGCAGTCAAATGTCATATCTTGATTCTAAATCTTAGCTGTTGGTTAATATTTAGTTAAAGATAAATGTTTCAGCTTTTGACAGTGTCTTGAAGGCAGTGAAAAAGTTTTTTGGGACTTTAGTAAAAATAATTACAATTCAGCTTCAGCTAATGTTTTCCCATTTCTAACCATGTGTAACTCTCTCAAGAATAGAGGCTTTGCACCATTATGTGAYGGCAGCTATGTTAGATGGCAGGAACAATACAATCATTTTACATGAGATAGAACTCAATTCCCAAGAGCAAAGGGATTTTATTGTTCTGCTATCTAACCACATGCAGCCCAAGCTGTATTAGGGGTGTCAGCACGTGATGGTGCTAAGCCTCCATAAGATTCTATGATTGAGTTGTACTCATATTTGTGTGTCTTATCATGCACAGCCATTAAACAAAGAAATGATACTYTCCTTTCTCATTCACTTATTGATTAGTCTCCAGTGATCAACAGAAATCCCTGTGAATCATTCCTATTTTGTAGATTTTGTGGTTGTCTAATAGCCCAGATGTGTCTTTGATTTGTACAGAGAGCTGGAGCTGCACCTTACTTACAGTCCTATTTCCTTGTTCAAATGGCAAATGTATGAATCACAGAGGGTGCGAAAGAAGTGGTTCTCTATGTTGGGAGATGAAGGAGAACAGTCAGAAGAGGAACAAGATACCCTGAAGGTGAGAAAATATCGATCATTGGTCTGCCCATTCATCTCATCTCAACCTATCCTTTCCATTCAGCTTTCTATCTCCCCTCCACTCCCAACTCTATCCATCCCAACCACCCACTTACCCTCCCTACGGCATCAATCCATCTGTTCATTTATCCATCCATTCACAGGATTTTACTATTCATTCATATTTTCATTCATCCATCCACTAATTCATTCTTTTATCCATATTGTTTCTTTTGTCCATGCACTCATTTCATCCATTTATTCATCTATTCATTCTTTTATTCATTGTTTTTTTTCTTTTACAGAGAACAATGGTAGAAACTAACCCTTACTTGTTGGGCATCACCATTGTGGTGTCTCTAGTACACACTGTCTTTGAATTCCTTGCATTCAAAAATGGTAAGCATCAATTCCATTGTGATCTGCCAGAATGGATTCAGTAAGATTTTAGTACGATAAGCATATGATGATAAAATCTTTAACCAGGGTTCCCCTTGTGTTTAATGACAGACGGGACAGTGAACAGTATAATATTTTTAAAGGGGCACTTGGATGAAAACACCCCGATTTTTGAAAGTCCGAATAATTGAAGTATTCGAGGATAATATGACTTGTTATAATTATGAAAACCAGATTAGTGCAAATTTTAGCCTGGGAGCCACTCGCTGTTGAGATATTTTGAGTTAAAAGCGAAAAGAACAATAGGGTTGAGTAAATGACGTCATTTACTCACATTTTAGATGCTGAATAAAATTGATAATTTTTTTTGCCACTTTTGATGGTGAAGGAAACATGTTGCTTGGCTACTATCTGGGCCATATAGATAAGTTTAAACAAGTTTCAAGTTTTCATTTCCAATTTTCATTGATTTTCATCCAAGTGCCCCTTTAAATGGTAGGATATTTCATACTCGAGTGACCCAATTAACTCATCCTAAAGGCGATACCAATGGATGGGTGGGTACTTACTGGGATTATTATTGACAATGCTTGTGGTTTACTTTTCAGACATCCAGTTTTGGAGGAGTCGTAAGTCATTGGAAGGCCTGTCCGTCAGATCTGTGTTCTTCAACGTGTTCCAGTCTATTATTGTCTTGCTGTATGTGCTTGATAACGACACCAATACCATGATTATAATCAGCTGTTGTATTGGTCTCGTAATTGAGTTATGGAAAATCAATAAAGTAACAGACGTCAAGGTCAGTTAAACCTACCTCTGATGTCCCATTTCACATGCCAAATCAAAAACCTCTTTGTGTTCACCATGTTTCATCGAGTTCAGCATTTTATTTTACGTCAAAATTAAGATTCTATCTACATGTTTCAATCAAATGTTTGTTTTACAATAACTTACAATTTCTCGCGTGCTGATTGGTTATTTTTTATCATCAATAAGAGGACAGACAGATAAAGCTGGCGTCAACGAGCRCGCACTCTTTCCGTTGGTTGTTTTGATCGCTAAAGATGAGAAGTTTTTATCGTTTTTTGTTATTGTAAAAAACAAATAGACATCAGTTTTTTATGTGTCTGTCCTCTTATTGACGATAAATTGGGTCATCACATTGTCAAAGTAGTATGCGGATCCACTCGGTTACGCCTTGTTAATCCACACTACTTTGATAATGTGATGACGCAATTTATCGTCAATAAGAGGACAGACACATAAAAACTGATGTCTATTTGTTAAATTGATGTTTGAGACTCATTGAGATTCAACCTAATTAGATTATCATGTAATTTAATTAGTTGGTTGAGTGATTGATTGATCGGGACTTAAAGCAATGGCCATTAATTGGACAATATCCATCCAGAATTATAACATTTCTGGTCAATTCTTAGCCTTGCTGGTAATGTTGAGCAGTAATGTTGAGCCAGAATCGAGGTATGACAGATCTAAAACTAATCATGAACGGCAACTGTCCGTCCGTCATTTTTATTCCAGATTGATTGCTTAGTTGATTAATAAATGGATGGATTCCAATTGATTAATTATATCTTTTACCAGTTTGACAGAGAGAATCGTATATTGGGTATCTTCCCTCGGCCCAAGTTTGAAGATAAGGAAACTTATGTCCAGTCATCAACAAGACAGTTTGATGAGGTAGGATGACTTTTAGTCCTCAGAATGTTTCCCTTTCATCATTGGGGGAGAGGGGAGGGGAAAAACAGCGGCGTCATTGTTAGTAAGTTAGAATAGACCTAATTCATCCTGGTTGGGGAAGAGGGGAGGGGAAAAACAGTGGCGTCATTGTTAGTAAGTTAGAATAGACACAACATAAGTGAACTCTAATTTTGATGGTTCAAGTTATTCATGGTGATGTTTTCCCATTTCAGACCAGGTGTCATTCCCTTGAGAATAAGATTCTTTGTTTGAGTTGTGTCCATATTCATGTGTCTTCTCATCCCCAAACAAAGAAATGATACTCTAGTGAATGACAAGTGGTCTGTAATGGGAAAACATCACCATGAATAATTGGAACCATCAAAATTAGAGGTCACTTGTGTTGTGTTCAGTCTCTTTCTCAAAGGAATGATGTAATACTGTATTCTAATCTTGTTCATAATTCATTATGTTACAGATGGCTTTTAAGTACCTTTCTTGGGCATTATTCCCTCTTCTTTTGGGCTATGCCGTCTACTCTCTGCTATACCTGGAGCATAAGGGCTGGTACTCCTGGGTTCTTGGTATGCTTTATGGATTCCTGCTTACTTTTGGTGAGTACAGTGTGTCGTGTGACAATGTTGTTCACTCATTGCACTAGATGCCTTCTTAGTCTGAGGTCCATAGYTTGATTCCCAGTGAATTCTCACACTCGTTTTAACTTCTCTGAAATCTGAGTAGCCTTTAATATAGCTTTAAAATAGAGCACTGGTGGAGATAAAGAAAAAAGAGAATATCATTTGTGGGAGATGGAGGGAAGGGAGGTAGGTAGGTACAACTCTTTACTTTAGTTGTACCCATCTTCACAGGTCTCCTGTACCAACAATTAAACAAAGAAATGATACTCTAGGGAATGACACTTGGTCTGAAATGRGAAAACATTAAGSCTACAACTAAAARAGTCMATTAAAYYKCAATTCTCTTTTCACBCAGGGTTYATAATGATGACACCTCAGCTGTTCATTAACTACAAGATGAAGTCTGTAGCCCACCTGCCATGGCGTATGATGACATACAAAGCTCTCAATACTTTCATTGATGATTTGTTTGCCTTTGTTATCAAAATGCCCATGATGTATAGGATAGGCTGTTTTAGAGATGGTGAGTCAACTTTTGTTTTATTTACTACTGAAGGCTGTATTTCAATGTTTAGGATCATAAATGCCTAGTTTCAGAAAGATATCTGTGACTGACCTTCCAAATTAGAGTGACGGTATACTTTGTGGGAAAGGAAAGGCAATGGCAAATCCAGGATTTAAAAAATGAACAGACCTTAATAATAATATTTATTTTTATAGATTTCATTCTACTGAGCATAAAGAACAATTTGGGCTTCACAAAGTTGGTTTACTGTCAGTCTATTCTAACCATGAACACTTGAGTTTGTCAACCAATCAGATTATCGATCAAAAACTATAGAATTTGAGCTAGATGTATTGAAAGTCTATAAGACTATTCAAGGAGAATGAAAAAATGAAAGCATTTCACACAAATAAGAAAAAAAAATTAATAAACTCAAGTGTTCATGGTTAGAGTAAAATGACAGTAAATGGAATCCATGGAACCTGCATTTGGTTCTCTAGTGAAAGAGAGCTGACTCATCAAGCATTGGAGCAGAAGCTGAATTATGCTAGATTTATGACCTGTTTTTTTATTCTCATACAGCTAACTATAGTTCAAGTGAACTAAGATACTAACACCTTGTTTTACTCATTTTCTATCAGACATTGTGTTCTTTATTTATCTCTACCAACGCTGGATATACAAGATTGACCCCAAGAGAGTCAATGAATTTGGAGTATCTGGAGAGGACTTGGCCAACGGTACAGCAATAGAGAACAAAGATGATCAAAAAGATGAACAAAAAGAAGCTAAAAATGGCACAGTTTCTCCTCCTTCTGACAAGAAAAATGATTRAATATCTTAAATATTTCATGCTGCATCGTTAAGTAAATATGGATTTAGTAACCCAAAAATAAATTCCCCTTTTTTTTTCATTGTTTAAAATTCAGAAAACATATTTCTTCTGATGTAAAAAAAAATGCTGTAAAAGCTCATATGGAAATGGCTGCAATGTGCTAAGGTTGCTTTCGTCATCCTTTTTTCTCTGCTTAAAATTCAGAGCCTATATTAAATCTGACATTTAAAAAAATTCTGTAAAATATTTGAATTGAAGAGGCTGTAATATGCTTGGTTTTATCTGACATTTTATTTCTTATTTAATTCATCATTCTCTTTCTGGGAGACTATTTCATCTGAAGTTAAAAACCTCTAGGATGTTCAAATTGTAAAGGCTGTAAAGTGCTAAGCTTTAAGTGTGACATCTATTAAGGATTATACAAAATTGAACTGGTTCATGGAAAATGTATTTAAAAAGCATCATTATTTTACTCATGGTTTACATAAAAGCTATTTTAAATTTGTATTTTCAAAATGGCCAGCATTTAGTATTACTAGTTACAAAAAAAAATACATTACCTGACGTCACCATCAGTAACATATTGGGAGTATAAACCTTCATAACTTAGAGATGCWTCACTCAAATCAAGAAATATTTTACCATTCAATAATCTACTTCATGTAGAATCAGTACTGAAAGTATTGTCRAAGGGTACAGGTGCACTTTAATTTTTGAACTTAATTTCAAAAGATTATGGGCCCTGTACCTAATGCTTTACATAGGAATGTATGAATTACTTAACAATAAGACCTGTTGCCTTCATGGGCTATTGACTGGTAGATCATGAGGGCAAGAGGTCTAAATGTTTTAGTMTAAACCTACTCATCGGTCAAATAAAATGTTACAAAAAATTTTGAAATCATGAATTCATTCCTTAAGGATTCAAAACAAACATGAAAAGTTATGTACGATTCTTTAAGAGTAAAATATACTCAATGAATTTAGTCAAATTTTATTTAAACTTTAACTAGATTTAAATGTTTGTTGCATTATTGCAATATTGTATTCTTTAMAATGGATCTGCCATTGGTTAAATTTGATCCAGATAAAGATCGTCATTGATTTAGAATAATTTACAAGAGGGGTAAAAGTAGTATGAAATAAAGAAATTTTAAATCTGCTACCTAAATGAAGATTTCTTTTTATTTCCCTTCCCTTCCTTTATTTTCCCTTCCATTCATTCCTTTTCTCTTTCTTTTATTTCCTATCCCTTCTTTTTTGATTTCACCTTCCAATGGAACATGTGCATTACGAAATCTGAAGCTTCTATGATATGTTACATAGATGTGAAAACTAGTGCAGGCATTTCTATAATAATGATACGTATTAGTCCAATATCTATTTCAYRGGTTTACWGASTTCACTAAGCACATACACTTCCATTCCAGTTTAAGTCTTTCTTTAACTTTTCCTCCTATATATCCCTTTTTCTGGCATTCCAATCTGAGAGGATAAAGTTTACTTATTAATCGGGATCCCTGTGTTTTCGAGCAATGGACGTTGCTATTGGAGTCACAGTTGCTGTGGCATTTCTTATAATCCTTATCGTTTACTACTTCATAAATCTAGATAACACAGTATCTGAACTGCATAMCAAATGCGTAGTGATAACTGGGTGTGATAGTGGATTCGGACACGAATTAGCTCTCGTATTAGATTCGCAAGGTCTTCGCGTTTTCGCAGGCTGTTTGACGGAGAAAGGCGAAAATGTCTTACAGAGCAAATGCTCTTCAAGGCTCAAGACTATGAGAATGGACGTGACTAACACTAAGGACGTTCAAGGATGTTTTGACCWCGTAAAAAACTTCATCGAAAACACGAATGATCTTGGTGAGTTTGAAGGAGTTTTTGACCCCCTTCTTCTTCACCATTCCACTTAACATAAGAATCTACCATGCATATGGCCCATGTATTGGGGATATCGAGAGTTAGAACAATATTGCTAGAGATACTGAGGGGATAGGAAGTACTGGAAGGGGTAGGAAGCACTGGAAGGGGTAGGAAGCACTGGAGGGGGTAGTGGCAGGGATACTCAATGAGGCACCCAGAATAGGAATCAATCTTGAGAGGTAGGATGGTACTAGCATTAATGGTGCTGAAGAGTAGAGATGTTGAGGTAAGAGTACAGCTGTCAAGGAGGTACTAAAGGGGGTACATAGCGGTAAGGATACTTAATGAGACAACCAGGATAGGGATGTTGAATTATACTGTATGTATGATGGCTGAGAGTCTGAGTAGAGAAGCTGATAAATTTGATATCAATATCTTTTTCCTGTTTTTTCCCTTATTGCTAGTTCTGTGGGCTATAGTCAACAATGCAGGTATAGGTGAACCAGGGCCGATAGAATGGACTCCCGTACGAGATCTGAAGAGAGTATTTGATGTGAATGTCTGGGGTATGTTGGAGGTAACCAAAACATTTCTACCCTTGTTAAAAAAATCCTGTGGTCGAATCATTAATGTGGCAAGTGCTGCTGGCAAGGTGCCRATGCCAGGTATAGTATTTAGCTCTCCAATCCTCATATCTACCCCCTGTGGGGGAGGGTTGGGGGTTTGTTCCTTGGAATACTGCCTCTTTGGACTTTAGCCTTTTTTACTTTTCACATGAATTAACAAGTTTACATTATAATGAATTATGGAGAAAGAAAAACAAATATGATGATTACAAACATAAATTAATGCCCATCTCCTACCTTCTTTACCCCTTGTTATTTAGCCACACTAACATGCAGTATATATACACATATCTCTAGGTGGCGGAGCATACTCATCATCAAAGTATGCTGTTCAGTGCTTTACTGATGTACTTCGTAATGAACTCAGACCATTTGGAGTATTGGTTCATACCATTGATCCTGGATTCTTTAAAACCAACATCACAGACTTCAGATTACACAAACAAGTCATGGAAAAACTATGGAATAATCTAAGTCAGGAAACTAGAGAAGAATATGGCCAGGAATTCTGTGATGAAGGTGAGGTTTTTGTTCAAATAATGGCATCTATCAGGGGCGCCGGAACCGTGAAATATAAATGCATATATTCGATTTTTATTACTGTTATTAAGTTATTGTTGTGATTTTGTGCCCCCCCCCCCCTCCCAAAGATTTTTTTCAATRTTTTMTTTCTTTCTTYCTTCCTTTCTTCATCTAAAAGGTTATTAGAGGTTATTTATCTTTTAWTTCTTTCCTTTTTCCCTTCCTTCCTTTCYTTTTTTAACTCTTTATCTTTCTTATTTTTTTCCCCTTTTTCCTCCCTTCCTTCCTTCCTCTTTTTTCTTTCTTCAGATTCTTAGCATCATAAATTTTTCCAAGATTTCTACAGTATATAAAATATCAAAATTATCTACATCTAGGTATGAAACTAATGCAGACAATGAGCAGCTTTGCATCCAGAGACATCAGTCAAGTCATCAATGCAATGAATCATTCCATTACCTCTACTCRCCCTAAAACCAGATACATCATTGGCTGGGACCATAAATTGCTATGGAGATGGTTGGCACTGCTTCCTTCWAGTGTACAGGATTTTGTGCTCGGTAGTTCGTATCCTAAACCAAAGGCTACAAGAATGTAAGGGAAAGTTTTYGGGGGGAGGGGTGGGTGGGKTGTCAAGGCTTCAGATAAGAAGATCATGAGTATAGTTTTGACTATTTTTGGATGTCAAAGGGGTCAACTCAATATTTCTTCACATTCTGAATATACTGCTAGAATCATGAAGTATTAAAAAGAATTTTTTAACCCCTCCCACCCCTCCCTCGCAAAAGAGACGTGCATCCCCTGACGGAGATTAGACCACTTTTTCAAGGATGGTATTCAGGTATCGTTGCTCTAAAATGGCTTTCCATTTCAAAASCGAGTGATTGGATTAATATAAGTGCAGAAGCACAGAAGCCTGTATTAWTTTCAATTTATATTCTTTTAAGAAYTMTTGGTTTTTSCCGTTTGCTCTCCCTAGTGCGATATCAATTGAAAACATTTGCTCTATACGTATATACCTATCGCATGCAAAACGCTTATCTTTATCTATGAATAGGAAACTTTCAAAGATACTAAAATAAAAGGGTGGAAAAGGACCTCTTTTCGCTGGTTAAAAATAAGGGACTTATGGAAATAAAAATTAGAGTAGTAGTTTTATAAGCAATTCAAAAAGTTTTATGACGATTTTTAATAAAGTGAACGAAGATGCATGTTTCTAAGAAGTTTCGAATAGTTCGTGCAAACTTATGAAAAATTGAAAAAGAAAAAKAATTGGCTAATTTACTATGTATCATTTGAAAATCTTGTCAATAATTGTGCCTAGAAATATCCTAGAGTCTCATTAGCCGTGTAAGGGAATATAGTGAATCAAATTTATAGCATAAAACTCATTGATAGTGTGAGTTATTTTCAAGTAATTTACCGCCATCACCTACATGTTTTTGCAAGGGACCTTGTATTTSGCTTGCTTTTCATATTTATCTGACGGTAAATAAAGATAGAGTTACTTGTGAATGGAAGGATCAATAATTGGTCTCAAAATAACTTGACAAGAAAGATGAAGTCGCTTGCGTGTAAAAACAGGTTTTGAAGTAATATTTCTAAAAGTTGAGTTAATGACTCTGCTTAGTGAATGTCAGAGTGATATCCCCAAATTAGGACAGTTTATCTCRCTATTTGTCAACTGAAATATCGAGATAATGATGTCTAAAACCACATGAGATTTTGGTTTTTACGTCACTGTGGGCCGGGGGGGCTTGGCAACACACGCGAGTAGAGTTCGTTAGCTCTACCTTGATTTTTTCGGATTTTCCGTTTTTTTCCCATTCACAAGGTTAACACGCTAAATTCTAATTCAAACTGTGAGTTAGCCGTGCCCTGACATAGATCTGCTCTTAGGTTGTCCCAGGATATCAAAAAATTAAGGCTTCCCCTCCTTCCTTCAGAAGCCAATAACAGGTGTTTTATTAACTACATAAGCTCTRCAGGAAGCCCAGCTCTACCTCATCTAATATTATTTGTCTAGCCAACACAGTTAATGACGAGAGTATCGATTGAAAAATAACTACTGACTACAGCTAATGACCAAAATATCTCTTGAAAAATAACCACTAATTAGAGCATGATATGGTTTATAAAACGGTCATCATTTGCAGAAACTAAATCAGTTKTGACCGGCCCTTGGACGCTCTACCTCAGTCATGGGCTGGTGGATAAGAGGTGTGCGAATTGCCCAAATCCTGTGGATGTTTTACGAAGCTTTCTACCTGATAATACTGGGTAAGTTTTGATTTTTTTTATTTCTATCTGGGTTTATAAATAACGTGAATAGAGTTGCTCTTTCTTCTGACATCGGAGAGTTTTTCTCTATTATCTTTTTTTCTTTTCTCGACTATCGGAATAACACAACATAGCTTTTCAAATAAAATAGGTGTTTTTTTAAGGTTACTGCGTTCATATTGAAAAATATCCATGAAAAATATTCAAATCACAATTGTTTATTGCTCAAGTGTATTAGTGAACAACTCGCAGCATAAATAAATTGGTTCGGACATATAGTTGTATTATAAAAAGTAAATACGAGAAGCCATTTTCTGTGCATAATTTAATNTGGGCTGGTGGATAAGAGGTGTGCGAATTGCCCAAATCCTGTGGATGTTTTACGAAGCTTTCTACCTGATAATACTGGGTAAGTTTTGATTTTTTAAATTTCTATCTGGGTTTATAAATAATGTGAATAGAGTTCCTCTTCTGACATCGGGGAGTTTTTCTTTATAATCTTTTTTCTTTCTCGACTCTCGAAATAACACAACATAGCTTTTCAAATAAAATAGGTGTTTTTTTAAGGTGACTGCGTTCTATTGAAAAAAAAGTCCATAAAAAATATTCAAAACACAATTTTTTATTGCTCAAGTGTATTGGTGAACAACTCGCAGCATAAATAAATTGGTTCGGACATATCGTTTTATTATAAAAAGTAAATACGAGAAGCCATTTTCTGTGCATAATTTAATCTTATAGCCTTGAAAATGGAGTCGGTATGACTTCAAAACGTCGGTTTTCTTTCGCTCGGTTGAACTTCGTCAGTAGTCTTAAAGGAAAGAAACTATTTAGGGGTCCTCGAGGTAGTTTTTCAGATATTCATATATCCGAACAGAAAAATGGGCGAAAAAAGTCAACCTAGAAAGGAAGGAATGAAATGAACTATCTCTCTCTCTCTCTCTCTCTCTCTCTCTCTCTCTCTTTCTTTTGACAGCAGTTAGTTTTGAATACTTTAAAGAACTGCGGGTAACATCATTAGGAAACGACCAACGTAAGAAATGAACTTTAATTAACAACGTTAGCGATGATACTAACGAGATGTCCTGGGAAAATGAGGAAATTGATGATAAGGGTGGGGCTGAGTCAGTACTGCAACTGGAGGTAAGGGAGGGGTGGTCTTGACCAGTATTCTGAGGAGAGGGGGTTGGTCTTGACCAGTATTCTGAGGAGGGGAGGGGTGGTCTGACTTCAGTAACATTACGTATACCCTTTTACCCTGTTTCAGTAAATGCTAACGGCTGCAAAGATATGGTTTTTAAAGTAACAATGGAAGGTAAAGCTCTTGCAAACCACGTCTTTAAAACAATACCAGCGGTTATCAACGATGGAAACTGCGAGTCAATGTGTTTTCAGGATGATCGCTGTATCTCGTACAACTTCGGTACCAGTGCGAGTGGAGAGAAATACATGTGTGAGCTGAGCGAGTCTGACCACATTATGCACCCTGAACATCTAGYGAACAGACGAGGCACCATCTACAGGAGTGCTGAGGTAAGGATCTCAGGAGTGGTTCTCCTAGTTCGACCGGTGTGGCATCCATCCGCCTCTCCACCATYAGTAGAGTTTCTTGATGGCTCTTGTCTCGAGAGGCTTTCCCCCAGTTTTCTTCCCTTCGAAACCGCCTTAATTAATACTTYCAATTCGATCTTGGAACGAGGGTCGGGRGTAAGTTTGTTAGCTCACACTGGATATTAGAAGTAAGTGCTGCCCTTCCAAAACAGGCTGCATTCGTTAGTTTCTACCAATTTATTTGGAACATTTCGTTTTACACGCATAACGTTGCGTTACGTGCCACTAGTTTGGCCATTAAAGCAGTTGTGTATGCAGTATGTGTACCTTGCCGTGACTGTGATGTTTTCTAGGATTTTGATTGGGGATTTTTTTTCTCGCGCAATGTGATTGGTCTGGCAGTGCGTGACATAGTTGGCGTGACCGTGTCCACGCCGTGTTTAGGGTATTTGATTGGATGGAGAGTAGCAACATTATTGGGCTTGGCGTATGCCTTGCCGTGTCACGACCGTGTTCGTGCGGTAAGCTTTTCACAGTCGTACGAAAACTGCTCTAATCCGATCTGTGTGTGTGTATGTGTTAAGTGGTTATAAAATTGCCCATATTTTAACCTTTSATAACACAGAACACCTGCAGCTGCCTTAAAAATACCACGTGCAGATTCAACTTTGTTGACGGRACGCACCGATGTGAATGCAAGCCTGGCTTTGTAGGAGAAAATTGTGCAGGTAGGACCAATTAGACAACCCTTCCACCCCTCCCTTCCTACCACGTCACCCAACATACCCCACCCCCCTCGGTAAGAAAATTATTTCATTTGGTGTCTTCTTAATCCATTTCGGGACAACAAATTATCAAGAGCGCTACTTGAMGAAATTTGAAACTGCATCCGCGGTTTCTAAAAATAGCCCAACCGCGGGAATTTATATGCGCGCGCGATATCAAGAAGTTTCTCTCTCTCATTTATGCTCTCTTGAAAGTATACTCTTTTTTGTTTAGAATTCAATCCATGCGCAAGTGCACCTTGTCTTAATGGAGGCAAATGCAGAGATATTGACAGATCCCTTGATCAAAAGGGGTATGCCTGTRACTGTTCTGAGGGATACGCAGGAGTTAACTGTGAGAATGGAGGTAGGGTTGATCGATTCACGATA